CATAATTAAATTATTTAAATTACTAATTTAACAGTGCGGGTTCTTATAATTGATAAGTAGATCAAATCCAATTTTAAGAAAATCAAAGTACACTATGTTTTAGGAAAGTTATAAAAATGAGTTGTATGCTAAGTTGGTTTATGGGAACCTCTTAGCAACTTAAAATAAGTTTTGCAAGATAATTAGGCAATTAGAATATTACTTCCGCGTCTAGATTTAAGTTGCGATCACGGTTTGTATCATTACATTTTACGGTTGTTTTAATCGTATACGTAATAAAAAGAAAAAGTTTTTCGTATTTTTAAATAAACTGCTGTGATTGTAACTGTGCTTAATATCATAATCAATGTGAACATACCGGTGTACAACAGGCTGTTACAGACAGTTTGAGATATATATAAGTTCAGTTTACCGTCGTTATTCTGTCTTTTAGACACTATTCGAAAGTACAAAATATCATATCCGGATAGTGTTTTGACTATCCAAGACGGTTATCGAAAAATAATTAGGAGTTCTGTGCAGGTATAAGACTGTACAAATAATAACAGTAATTTGGAAAACGAAATACACATAACATTACATAAAGATAATTAAAAAAAAAGAGTGAAATCACTTAATTATGTGAATAACGATGATACTTTTATAAGTTAAGTATTTCGCTTAAGCATTTAATTATGTAACATTTCTATACCAAATCTGATCCGATCCAATCCAATTTTTTTCGGTTTGATCATGTAATCATCCATTCGGTTTGAATTTTTTTCCAAATCCGATCCGATCCAATCCAATCCAATTTTTTTCGGTTTGGATTGGATCGGTTTTCGGTTTTTTGAAAACCCTAAAATTTGTTTAATGATTATTGTGTAAATAACATATTTTGTATATATTGAATTTGTAATTTTTTTTTAAAATACAAAAATATCAGTAAACGATAATATAGTTTTTTTTTTGGCAATTAATGAGATATAAAACTCTAAACAAATGAAATTTTGTTAATGAGATGTGACTAGATTTTTCTTGTATTTAGTTGATGGGTTAATGAATCTTGGGTTTAGAAATTTGTGGGCTATGATTGGGGAAAGACCCAAGTAAGTAGAGGAGAATTAATATATTGGATCGGTTTAGATTGGATCGGTTTTCATCAATCAACCCAAAAACCGATCCAATCCAATTAAAATTTGCGGTTTTTTTTCAGTTTTTGATTTTTTCGATTTTAGTGTTTTTCGGTTCGGTTACCGCGGTTTGAATCGATTGATGAACACCCCTAACCATATGCATGTTAATTAACCACCGATTGCGAACTGGAGTGTTAAACATCACAAACCCACGTGTTCAATTGTGGAAAATAGCATATGCAGAGCAACATCATTTTCAAAGTAGGTGTAGCAGTCGTCCCTTATTAAGTGTCGCGAGGATAACGCGGGGTCCTCCTTCAAATTAAATGTTTCTATACCTACTTCCACCCCAGCGGTGGTATTCATTGTGGCGAATTAAATGTTTCTATACCTACTTCCTCCTTCATACAGTACGAAAAATGTTAATGGTGAATGTACGAGACCACGGTCACACATACAACAATATTTCAGTGTCGAATGTTTCTATACCTACTTCCTGCCCAGCTGTGGTACTTATTGCGGCGAATTAAATGTTTCTATACCACTTCCTCCTTAAAACAGTACGAAAAATGTTAATGGTGAATGTATGGAAATGGAGACCTCAGACCATGGTGACACAAACAACAATATTTCAGTGTCAGACATTTTAAGCCACGAGTATATAACGCAGTAGGATATATTTGCGGACAATAGATGCAGAATGAAGCACAGATGATGACTGCTCATGACAGCTCATGACAGTAGGATTAGTCGTCCCAAGAAAAGATTATGCAACATGCAAGGGTTAAAGGATAAATAACGATGCCAATAGTTTGCAGTCTTAAAAATGGATGTTTGAATTCTAAGTCAAAAGTTTAATTTTTGGAAATAGTCTTTAACATTCATGATTTATGATAAAATTACAAAAGCAATGCAAATATTTAAAAAATATATATACAATAAACTACGTAAGTTTATTTCTATTAGATGGGTCGGTTTCAAAAATCAAATGATATTATTCATGATATTTGAAAGGGAAATGTGAGTGTCATGTTACATTTCCCAATTTTAAATCAATTCTCGAGTTTGGTAATTTAATTTTAAACTATTTTTATTAGTTTTAACTAATTTTTCTTTTTTGGTCTACATACAATTTTGATTATTGATTTTCTTCTCAGATATTTAAATTATCTTAAGCACATTTTCCAAATTTTCTTTGTAATACACTCATTATTGATCTTATCTTTTCTTGCATAATAACTCGTTTAATTTAACATTTCCATCTCCGCAACCCGTATCTCATGCTCTTATTAGTCTTTTATCAAAAAAAAATAAAAATTCTAACTTTAGCAGCACTTTGATTTCTTTCACAAATAACACCAAAATCGTTCCTTTATTTCTTCCAATTAGTTTGAATCCTGTAATGTACATCTCCCTTTACTTCTCTGAGGCTTTATAGTGTAAACAGATATCTAAACAGTGTGACTTGTGGTATGATAAGAAGCTCTTTAATTTAATTTTCAAAAAAAAAAAAAAAATTTAAAAAAAAGCTCTTTAATTTTTACATGCGTTTAGTTGAGCTTAATTGCATTTACTTATGTTTAAACAAAAATCATGTAATTTCAAAGCTTTTCTCCATATATAGCTCTAGTTTATGAGGGAATATGTATTGATCCCGGAACACATGTGCGGGGAAGAGAGAGAGTGAGAGAGAAAAAAAGAGAGAGGAGAGAGAAAATAGGAGAGAGAAGGGGAAAGAAGGGGGACCACTGAATATTTTTTCCTAGTTTACAAGTATTTCGTTCAAGTACGTCATCTGAATGTATTCAGGATGTCAGAGTTAAATGATATAGCTTAATTTTTTTCATGTTCTGGATAGTTTGGTAGAGGCAGAAGTGGTAGAGGTAGGGGCTGAATACCCGTGGTCGTAGTGGTGACGATGATGATGTGGATGAGGCCGCCCTCATTTCAAGTCTGTCTGCCAGGGCCAAATATTGAATATTAGGTATAGATCGAACCTAGGAGGAAAAGCAAGAGATGTTACTATGCGAGTATCGCAGTGGTGGTAGTAGGAGAAAATTTGTCACGCAACGACGGGCTTGTGCATGTACTTCCTCTTTAGGATTGTTGTTTCACAGGCCCTATAACTGGTGCTCACTGCTCACACACACAAATACATAGGTAATTCTCTGAATATACCTCTATTTTATTACTGATTCTGCCAAAAACCATTTTACAAGAGTTACAGTGTGCTATTTATAAGCAATAACAAATGGTTAAGAGTGATAATGACTAACATAGGAAATCTAATTGTATTAATTGTTCACTAACATATACCTAGGGACACACCCTTTTCACCATAAACCTTTCATTTTCTATTTTTCTTTTATTTAATTTAAAACTTATCCCAACAAAACTCCCCCATAAGCTTTAAATTATTCGGCCATCCTTCATCCCAATCTTCTTCTTAAAATTTTCTAACAGCAACGTTGGCAACAGCTTTGTAAATATGTAACCTACTTGATCTCGGCTTGCAACATGAGTGAGCTCCACCTTTCCTTCCTTGACTTGATCCCGGATGAAATGAAACCTGACATCTATATGCTTACTCCTCTCATGGTTGACCGGGTTCTTTGCTAACTCGATTGCAGACTTGTTGTCAACCCGGATCTCGGTTGGGCCGACTTGTTCTTGCTCCAATTTACTCAATAGATTCCTCAGCCACATTGCGTGACAAACGCACTAGGATGCAACAACATACTCGGCTTCACATGTAGATAGAGTCATAATGGGTTCCTTCTTTGACACCCACGTGAATGCCGTGTTTCCCACGAAAAACACATAGCCAGCCGTGCTCTTCTTGTCATCAACATCTCCACACCAGTTGCTATCTGAATATCCCACCAGCTTGTACTTGTCTGACTTTGAATAATGAAGTCTTTGGGAGATTGTTCCTTGAACATATCTCAATATCCTCTTCGCTGCCTTCCAATATGTGTAGCCCAGATCTTCCATGAACTGACTTATAATCCAAACACTTAGACACAAGTCTGGCCTCGTACAAGTTAAATACCTCAAACATCCTACTAGACTCCGGTAATTACTCGGATCAACTCTTTCTCCTCCATCATACTTCGAAAGTTTTAAGCCAGGTTTCATAGGAGTTGAAACCGGATTGCAATCTATCATTTTGAACCTCTTCAGGATATCTTTTGCATAAGTTTCTTGAGTTACGAAGATCCCAGATTTGTCTTGTCTGACTTCCAGACCAAGGAAGTATCTCATCAGACCGAGATCCGTCATCTCGAACTATTTTGTCATTTTCTTCTTGAAGTCTTGTATCATTTCTTCATCATTTCCTAAGAGGATTAGATCATCAACATATAAAGAAACCAGTACAATATTACCTTCTTTCTTCTTCATATACAGGGCATGTTCATATGGACATTGCTCAAATTCGTCCTTCTTGAAATAAGAGTCAATACGAGTATTCCAAGCCTGCAGTGCCTGCTTCAGCCCATACAAAGCCTTCTTTAGCCTTAACACTTTTCTTTCTTGTCCGACTTTCATGAAACCCGGAGGTTGTTCGAGATATACCTCCTCCTCAAGTACACCGTTTAAGAATGCCAATTTCACATCCATCTGATAGATCGGCCATCCAAGCTGGGCTGCATGTGAGATCAACAACATGATTGTCTCCATTCTCACTATGGGTGCAAACACCTTGTCATAGTCTATTCCAACTTTCTGCCTGTACCCCTTTGCTACTAGCCGGGCTTTGAATCGCTCAATCTCCGCTTTAGCATTCATCTTCTTCTTATATACCCACTTCACACCGATGGACCGACTTCCTTTTGGTAGCTCGGCTAACTCCCATGTCTTATTCCGCTCAATAGCTTTTATCTCTTATTCCATGGCACATTGCCATTTTTCATTTTGGACAGCATCCTCAAAGCTCAAATCCTCAGAATTTGCTAACAAGTAAACGAGATGTGCTTCGTTAGTTGAGTCATACAAGTCTTGCAAGCTTCTCATTCTCGGTTGTCTCTGCTCTTCTTCATCATCAGAGACTTCAGGATTTGCCAGGATATGGGTCAAAAGTTGTCTGACCTCAATTGATATATTTCTGGGTTCCACATTGACCGCGGATGTACTATTCTAGTCCCATTCATCTTTTTCATTCACTTTCACATCTCAGCTTACCAACACCCTTTTATTTATGGGATCTATCAATTTGTATCCCTTCGTCTTCTCATCATATCCAATAAACACAAACTTCTTACTCTTATCTTCAAGCTTCGTTCTGAGCTGGTCCGGTATATGTGCATACGCAACACTACCAAAAATCTTTAAATGAGCCACTGATGGCTTTAGACCACTCAGTGCTTCCTGTGGGGTTTTATCATTCACACTTGAATGCAGACATCTATTCTACACGTACACAACAAATTGTATGGCTTCTCCCCAAAACTCCTTAAGCATATTCTTAGTCTTTAACATAGAACGCTCCATATCCAAGATAGTCCAGTTCATTCTTTCAGCAACTCCATTTTACTGTGGTGAGAACGGCGCGGTCAGGAACCGTTTTATCCCGTGTTCTTCACAATACCTTTTAAAGGATGTTGAAACGTACTCGTCACCTCGGTCAGAATGGACCAACTTGATGTATCTCCCGGTTGCATTTTCTATCATCACTTTAAACCTCTTAAAGGCCTCTAGCACCTCAGACTTCTCCTTCAGAAAATATACCCAAGTCTTATGACTGAGATCATCAATAAACGAAACAAAGTGTCTCTTTCCTCTAAAGGACCCCGGAGTTATGGGTCCACACAGGTCAGTATGTATCAACTCCAGAGGCTGCTGATCCCGGTATCTTGCCATCCTTTGGAACAGGCTTCTTGTATGCTTTCCCAACATACAGTCTTCACAGAACTTTCTTTCAGAATTTATCTTTGGCAGTCCCACTACCATGTTCTTCTTCATCAGCTCGGCTAGAGCACCATAATGAAGGTGTCCAAACCGTCGATGCCACAAAGACATCTTATCCTCCACCTCGGCTTGCAGACAGCCGACCTCCACGCTCCTTAAACTCAGCTTGTACATTCTGTTCTTTTTCATCTGAACTCGGGCTATCAGACGCCCTTGTTTATCTTTCAATAGCAGAACTCGGTCTGTCATTAGAACCGAGTATCCTTTCTCCGTCAACTGTCCAATGCTCAAAATGTTACTTTTGAGCTCGGGCACATAGTACACATCCCGAATTGTTCCAACCCGTCCATCCTTTTGTAGAAAGCAGACCGTACCACGACCTTTCACACCAATTTTGGACGCGTCTCCAAAAGAGACATGTTCGGCTTCCACCGTTCTCAACTCTTTGAACAAATGTTTGTAACCACAATGTGATTACTGGCACCAGTATCCAAATACCACTCTATCTCACTCTTCGAACTAGTTTCACCATGTGCTAACATCAGAACTCCTCCATCTCTTATTTCTCCTTCTGCAGCGAAGTTTGAAGTCTCGTCAACTCTTCTTTCATCTCGGCAATCTTTAGCAAAATGCCCGACTCGGCCATAGTTGTAGCATCTGTTCGAGTTACAATCTTTTGCGTAGTGACCATACTTGCCACACTTATAACATTCTATATTACTTTGATTCGACCACCTGCCTCTTCCACCTCGGCCACATCCTCTACGTCTCCAGTTTTGCTGACTCGTCTAAGCTCTTTCTCCATGTTTCACCTCCTGACCTCGGTCACGACCACCTCGGCCATTTCCACGTCCACCTCGTCCACGACCTCTACCTCGGACATTCTGATAGTACAACACCTTTTCATCCTTAATTGTTGCTTTTGTCTGGAGTGCTTGCTCAAGAGACTCCTCCTTCTTTTTCTTCTTGCGCTGCTCATGCGCTTCAAGAGAACCAGCTAGCTCTTCAACAGAAAGCGTAGCCAAGTCCTTAGACTCCTCAATTGCACATACCACGTTTTTGAAGTCGTCTGTCAACGAACTCAGAATCTTTTCAATAACTCTGGAGTCGGTCAACACCTCTCCATTCCATTTCAACTGGTTCACCATGGTCTGAACCCTGGTGATGAAGTCCGACACTCCTTCGGTTTCCTTCATCTTCATCCCCTCCAACTCTCCTCAAAGAGTTTGAAGTCTGACCTACTTCACACGATCCGTGCCTTTGTCGACTGTCTCCAATATATCCCAGGCCTCCTTTGCCATCGTTGCGCCTCCAATCTTCTCAAGACCACCGTTTTCTTCAACAGCTTGAAACATCATAAAGAGTGTCGTTGCATCCTTTGTTCTCGACGCACTCAACTGCTTGAGTTGATTTGTTGAATATCCTTCCGTTGATTCAGGTTCTACGAACCCATTTTGCACCAACCCCCAACTGTCATAGGCTCTTAGAAGAGCCTTCATTTGGATGCTCCAGTTTTCATAGTTCACCTTTGTCAGGCGAGGCACTGGCAGACTATACTCATATTCTCCATTAGCTCAAGCTCTGATACCAATTTGTTGTTTCACAGGCCCTATAACTGGTTCTCACACACATAAATACACAGGTATTTCTCTGAATAGACCTCTATTTTATTACTGATTCTGCCAAAAACCATTTTACAAGAGTTACAGTGTGCTATTTATAAGCAATAGCAAATGGTCAAGAGTGATAATGACTAACATAGGAAATATAAACGTATTAATTGTCCACTAACAGATACCCAGGGACACACCCTTTTCACCATAAACCTTTCATTTTCTATTTTTCTTTTATTTAATTTAAAACTTATCCCAACAAGGATGAGATTCGCAACTCGCGTCGGTGGGAGCTGCAGACGCTTCAACCGTCATACCTCTAGATAGCGACGTCATTTCTTCTAGTTTGGTCCGTTCCGAGGCTCGGGTAACTTCTGGCCACTCTCGTGCGAAGATTATGTTGTCCCCTAGGGAAACTTCTTTGGGTCAGCCTACCAAGAGGAGCTCTTAGTCTTCAGCTCTTCGAGCTTGTTCCGTCAAGTAGGAAAGGGTGTCCAGATCCCCAGCTTGCCACCGTTGCACCTTTCTAAGTTTAAAGTTAGTTGAGCACGACTTCAATTATTTGGCTCAATTGACCCTCTGGATTCAGCCCACCATCTAGATCCTTCATTTCCGAGTTTAGGATACGTAGGGGACACTTCTCATCCTATTAAAATTCTTGACGAGTCTTCCAGCTCATCTAATAGCAATTCTTTAGATTCAGCTTTATCTATGCCTTTATCATCCTATAGGTATGCATACTTACTCACTCTCTCTATTAGATGTCACTGTGCTCACACCCCATGTTCCAGCAATGCCGTTATTATATGCACAATCATAGTCTCTGAGTGGACATCTCGATCCCCAAGATCGAACAATGGTATCATCTGCGGCGAAGATGGTCCTTTTGTAGTTCGTAGGGTGAATCAGGATCTGATTGTATCCGAAATATGCATCCATGAAGGATATGAAGTGAAATCTAGACAAGTTGTCCATCAACTGATATATGTTCAGAATGGGGTATGAACTTTTCGGGCATGCTTTGTTGAGGTCGGTGTAGTCAGTGTAGACCCTCCATTTTCTTTTGGGTTTCTTCACCATCACAATGTTGGAGAGCCAAGTTGTGTATTGGACAACATCTAATAACTCCTTCACATATTCTTCTAAGGTTTTCCACCTTTAAGGTCCCAACTTCTTATACTTTTGAGCCACTGGAGTGGCACCAGAATGATTGGCTAGCTTGTGGCAACAAAATCTAGGGTCAATACCCAGAATCTTTGACAACTTCCAAGCAAAAATGCTCGTGTTTTCTTTAAGGAAGGCAGCTGGCTGGCCTTTCTCTTTTGGTTTTATCTCCCAAGGCTAATTCCTCCTGCTCACCTTCCGACTCTGGCCTCGGCAGCACCTAAGTATCCTACCTTATATCTAAGTTGACCATATTCACAGGTTGTTCAGAGAAGAAAACTATCTTTCCCTTGTCTATCACATTTTCTCCATGTCTTATCCAGGGTGGGGAGGATAGGTCGCCCTCACTTTCCCTCATGGCCTCATAGTAACATTCCTTGGACTCCTTTTGGTCTCCCTTTATAGTGATGACCTCAACTTCTGGTGTTTAGTGGAAATCAAGATATCCTATTTATGTATAGTGTTCCCCTCTATTATTGTGTTGTACATAGAGGCAAAATTAGCCGTAATGAACTTGACTCAACTAAACTTAAATGACTCATTCATCCCTAGAGTCAAGGTATTATTGAAACTATAAGTTATAAAGTTCTGTATAGTTAATGAATGGTAAGAATGATGTAAAATACTTAATTGTATTATTTAAAAATATATGGTGTACTCTGTGTTTGAAAATTTAACATGTAATATAGGAAGTAAACTCGTGGGTGGAGACTTTTCCATAAACCCCGAGCTTATTGAGTTTATCTCACCCCGCGTTATGGGGATATATTTCATGTACTTCTAGAGTTGAAGATAATGATAAGGGTAAGAAGCCAGTGGATGAAGACTAAAGTTATACAGGGAGCTACTAGTTGAAACAGTTACATGTTTTGTGAATTATTGATATATATGTTTTGATGTAGTAAGACTAGTGTAAACAATTTTTTGAGAGGCCTACATTACTTATGTAAATAATTTTGTAAAGGATAACAGGGATATGTATCTGTATGTACATATTGATGTTGTAGGTTAATGTAAATGGCACGGAGCAATCTTGGATTAGTTGAATGGAATGAGTATTGAGTCAATCAGGTGTTGTTAACTAGTGGAAGTGTGAAATTCCTAATTGTTGAATAAACAGCGGAGATGTTGTCAAAAATTATAAGAAAACGTACGTGTAGTGTATATGACTTTAGGAAGTCATATCTCACTGAATCCTTAATCAAAAGAGGTGTGTGAGTTGTTATTTTGAAGCTTAGGATGTAAGATATAAATTCCTAGAATATGGGATTGCAATGAGAGAAAAATAAGATGTAGTTTGCTGTTTAAGCTCGCTGCCCAGTTGTAGTGAAATTGACGGCGAAAGTTGGTTAATTTAGAAAATTTATAAATCCTTTGTTTCTTATTGAAACAAGGCTTATAGTATATCAAACTTAAAGTCTAGGTGTCAGATATAACATATCCAAAATTGAGAGAAAACAGATAAGTGGTTTCCCTGCAGTTATGAACACAACGAAGGAACCCAGACTCGTTGTTGACGTATGTTGACAGTTTTGAGCAGTTAACTTACGGTAAATATATCTTGGGTTGTAGAAATCCAAATTAAGCTTATGATATCTTGTTGGAAAGCTTAGAGAGTCTAATTTAACATACTAAAAGATGAGAATTTATTTGTGATCAAGTGCAGTTCTGGAGAAACCGAACCTATATAAGGTTTGTAAAGTGCATAAGTGTGTGTTTAAACTTTGTTGGTTTATGGGAACCACTTAGTAATTCTTTGTATAAGTGTTGTGTGATATTGAGTAGTAGAAATTTATATTTCACAATTGTGTTGGTTATGATCATGTTATGAGAATTGTTTTTAAATGCAGTTGTTTTAAATGAAAACGTAATTTTATAAAGAAAAGCTTTTACTATATTTTAATTCAATTGTCTTTATTGTAACCATGTTTAATATCATATGTGTGTTAATACGTCGGTACGGAACAAAGTGCTATAGTGTTCGTGGGCTGCAAGGGCCCCATTCAATAATACAGAAAGAAAGTGTATAAAGCCGCATCTTTTTCCCCATTAATTCCCAGTGAAGCTTAGCAATATACAATTTTCCTAGAGAAGTCCGGTTAGAGAAAATGGTGAAAGAGATTGTTTCTAAAGTCACCATTAAGCCATCCTCTCCAACCCCTAATCATCTTAGAGATTTTAAAATCTCCCTCCTTGATCAATTGGCTCCTTCATCAATTTACATTCCCATTGTCCTATTTTACTCTGCCTCTGATGTAAGTGCTTTCGGTAATGATATCAAAATGATATCTGACAAGTTAAAAACTTCTTTATCGAATGTCCTCACTCTTTATTACCCGTTTTGTGGAAGAATGAAAAACAATTCAACTGTTGAGTGCAACGATGAGGGTGTTCTTTTCATGGAGTCCAAAGTCCCCCAAGAACTTTCAAATATTTTGAAAAATCCTCAAGTTCATGAGATAAATGAACTTTTTCCGTTTGATCCCTACAGCGCTGAAGTAGATTACAACATGGCTGTTCAATTGAATGAATTCAGATGTGGGGGTATAGGGCTTGGTGTGTGCTTCTCACACAACATTGGTGATGGTTCAACGGCAGCATCATTTCTCAATACATGGACTGGGACAGCAAGAGGAGAGAGCAACATAGTGGCACCTCAAATGGAAGCAGCATTGCTTTTCCCACCAATGAACATGGATATGAACTTAGCACGTGGCATGATTGGACACAAAGACATAGTAACAAAGAGGTTCATATTTAATGGGAAAAACATATCTAAAGTAAGGGACAAACTTGGCTGCTTCAATCCCACTCGTGTTGAAGCTGTGACAGCACTCATTTGGAAATCAGCTATGGAAGCAGCGAAAGCAAGTTCAAGGGAACGGACACATCTCGCATCTATGATGGCCCACGCGGTGAACATTCGCAGTCGAATGGCCTCTCCATTGTCGAAGCATTCACTTGGAAATCTTTATCTTCCAGCTTTGTCTCCATTGGTGCAAGGGGAAGAAGTGGTAGGGCTGCATTATTTTGCTGAGATAGTGAGTAAAACGGTAAGAAAAGTTGATGCAGATTATGTAAAAAAGCTTCAGGGTGATGAGTTACCTATGGTTCTTAAATCTCTAGAGGAAACAAGGATAATGGTCTTAGAAAAAGGTATTCCGTGTTATGGCTTTAGCAGTTGGACAAGATTTGATTTCTATGAAGCTGATTTTGGATGGGGAAAGCCAACCTGGGTGAGTACTATTGGTGCGCCTATAAAAAATGTGGTAATTTTGATGGACACAAAAAATGGGGATGCAATTGAGGCATGGGTTACCTTGACTGAACATGATATGGTCGAATTTGAGCGCAATCCAGAAATTCTTGAGTTTGCATCATTTGATTTCTAGATTTGTCTGTTAGAGATAATTGGAATTTACATATTTAGCACATCTTCATCTTATGACATTTCAACGCTTAAGAATTATTGGCGTGCTTCATATTTAGCTACAACCCGTATTTCTAGTTGCTGAAAATCTTATAATTGTAATTTGGCTTCGTTTGTTCTCTAGTCATTTAAATATATGTGGGGCTTCCTCTACTCTATATTTCTTTTTTGTTTCATTTAGTTCCTACTATTTTAAAATTATACACAGGTCTTTTTTTTGTTAGTATTTGTTCAGGATAGTTAAGAGAATATTTAGAGATTTATAGTCTCACACCAAAGCGTAAGTAAAGTTGCATACATTTTTCTGGAAAAATAAATAAATTACGAAGACAAAACAATGTCCCCATCTATATGTGTGTGAACAGGACTCGCACTCATTCTATTTCTTAATGGAGAAATTAAAAATGCATTTATTGCTATAATTTACTTTGCAATAAGAAGACATTGTATATAATTTTTTCTTTTGGTACACCGACCCTGATTATCACTTTGAGGTGAGTCAGTCTCATCTCTAATATCACCACAAGCTTTAACTTTTTGAGTTGCTTATGAGATTAAACTAGAGTTCCGAATTGGACTTAGTCACAAATAAAACTCCTTTTCCAAGTCTAATCAACCACTTTTAAGCGGCAAGGTGGCAGTTACTAACTAAATCAAAAGATAATCCAAAAACTTTCACATCAACAAAATTATGATAAGAAAATTATTTAGAAAGTCGAATAATGCTTAAAGTCGCTTTTCGGATGAAAAGTGCATATATCGGTTCTGCTTCGCGGTATAAATGCGTATTGCTTAAGTATCCTGAAAAATTATAATAAAAATATAAATATTCCTAGAAAAATATATAGGTCAAGGATGTCAAGTTTGGAGTAAGGATATAAAGGCTTAAAGGGGCTCACCAAAGGATAATAATGTAAGGGAAGGCTATCTGGCTAAAGTGGGTAAAAAAATGAATGCCTCAATAATATTCATGCATATAAGTGAAAAATATAGTTTCAAAAAGAACTGAAGCAAGTTCTAGAGAACAAAGATCAAGAGCAGAAGTACACAAGAAAGAAAGAATGGCCAGAAGATGTATGCCATGTATAAATGCTCAAAACCTCACAAGGGTCAAACCAAGTTATGCAATCAGCATCACAAAATCAATCAACAAGTCATATAATCCAAGAGTCAAGAATTAAGTCTGATCAGAATAATCTATGAAAAGCAATATGTCGTAGTTCACTCCATGTATATCTCAACAATTATCAGAAAGAAAAGAAAAATCCACTTATTGACAATTAAAGTTGAAATTTAAAAATGCAAAGAAAAAGGAAATAAAGAAAAAGGAAAAGAAGACTCCCTATCCTCCTTAGGGAGGGTAAGTGGCATCAGTGAGCCTGATTTATGCCTCCACAAGCTGCTGCTGGGGTCCCTCATAAAAAGGCTTAAGGCCATGTCCATCCACATGTGAAGAACCTCTCAGTCTACTTATCACACTGCTCCTTATGATTAATTTTCTGCATAATTGAAACAAAAGGAGGAAGAGGATAAAGAACGATAGAGAACGATGCAAACTCTCCGGAAACGGCGCCAAATTTGACACGAGCTGTCGAACTCGCACAAATTCATTAAATCAGGTTTATTAAAATTTTGTAGTAAAGAGTCAACCTGAGTCATCTCTCAAGGAGTTTGCAAGGAACTTAATCGCTCAGTTATAAAAATAAAAATAAAAATAAAAATAAAATAGAAACCAAATGAAAATGGAAACCAAATGAAAACGGGAATCAAATAAAAATGAAAACTAAATAAAAATGGGAACTAAATAAAAAGAGAAACTAAGGAGAAGCGGAAACTAAAATGGGGGGGGTTTAATATGATTGTCAATTTAAACAGAAATGAAAAATAAGATAAAAAAAGAATAATCAAATTAAAAGCAACCAACCAAAGAATTAGGATTCCAAGGATATCCATCATTGAAATATTAATTACGAAATTGTGGTTGACCCCAATCGAATTGGAATCCCTACATTCGCTTAGAAATCCCTCTCTAGACGATCGCCTAGCGTTTGGTCGAATACGGCGCGTCTACTCGCGCAATCACGAAGTATCAACCCGTTCGACTTGAGATAATTGGGTTAATCAACCTAACCATTAAATATAATGGTTAATCTCTTTCCTAAGAACACAATCGCGTATCTCAGATTGAACACCTACAATCGCGCGATGCCAAACCGAGTTGGAAAGAGAAACGAATTTGGTTCAAAATGAGACGTAGGTCCTCATGATTCAACCATGGAATCCTCAACCCTTGGGTTGATTAAAGAAAAGAGGAGAGAGAAAAGACAAAAATTCTTGTAACATCCCGAGCGCTGATAAAAGCGGGGAGTGATCGCGGGTGCGAAAGGGCATGGACAAGGAGCGGCTCCTGACAGGCTTCCAGCGGAGGGTTACATGCATGAATGAATCAAATCGACACCCGGAAGAGAGGGATTCCAAAGACTGTGCAGGTATGAGACTGCACATCTTGGGATAGGTTATGAGAATTAATTGGTACTACCTATACTAACAAGATGCATCTGCTTTTCGATAGCCCGGATCGGAAGAACTCCACAGTTAAGCGTGCTTGACTTCGAGCAATTATGAGATGGTGACCTCCTGGGAAGTTTTCTCGGGGAGTGTGCGAGTGAGGAAAAAAACACACTGGAAAGTCTCGTGTTAGTATGTGGTGATAGTCATTGATTCTTGAAGCGGTCGGGCGTTACAATTATATTAATTTCAAAACTGTAAAATTCAAATTCAATGAAAGATAATCCACAAGGTCCCTACTCTCGCCCTTTTAACCCCTAATCAAGCTGGGCTTTTGGCTCTACAAATCCAACCCAAAATAAAATAAAGGGAAAAATGTTTGTCATTTTAAATGACAGAGTTATGTCATTTTAAGAGAGAGAAAGACACAAAATAAAAAAAATTTATTTAAAATTTAAATTAAAAAAAACCACCCACTTTCTCCCTTCATGATTTCCATTCCTTGTGTCTATCTCTCTCCTAAAATGATATAACTTATTGATTTAAAATGATAAACATCAAACCCTAAAATAAAACATTACAACATGGCCTTGCGCCCTAAACACATTGGGTTCTAATTTAATTTACAAGTCCAAACGTTAAAATAAATTTCCAACAAAACACGTCCATTTTGGGCTCCGGTTTTGACCATCTTTCCGTCCGAATTGGGCTTCAGTAGCTGAAATATCAATTGTAGCGCCTTATGTTAGCTGCAAAACACAACAACAACGGAGTCAATCGGACACCTGTAGAGTGAGATATAGCCAAAATACGAAAGTAGTGTAAATCTTAAAAATTCTGACGAAAATCAATTAAACCCAATTAAAATCTAGAATTCGTATTTGACCAAAAAGACCTTTATTTAACCCAAATAAATCTTAAAAAATTAACCTAGAGTAATAAAAAAGTGTAACAAAATATGCGTTATCAGTGACCACATTGTGTGGGCATGATCAACTCATCCCTTGTGTAACATGTGTAGAGTTATGGCACCTCCTAGGAGAACTCGGTAGACGAATGAGGGTCAGCCCGATCCTATCTTGACTGCATTAGCTGAGATGCAAGCGGCTAGACAAGCTGATCAGGAGGCCACTAAAGCGGCCAACCAGGCCATGTTGGACGCCATGAGAGAGGCAAATCAGACAGCCACCGAAGACGTGCTTGAGGCGAACAGATTGGCGAACATGACCATGATGAGGGTCATGTTGGAGGAGATGAGGACTGGTCGTAATGATGGCCAATTTCCTCCACCACCACCTCCACCTAGTCACCAGGATGGGAATGGAGTAGGTGGGAAGCACATTCCTGAGGTCGATGGTCTGAGCCATATGGAGGGTGTGAGTCACCTTACAGGCTTGATGTAACCCTATTATGAGCTAGTGGAAGATCAAGAGACGAGAGACCTCCGGTTGAATGCTTTTCGTAAACACAAGCCACCTTCATTTGATGGATCCTATGATCCAATTGTTGCTGCCAGATGGCTCCATTCTTTGGACAAGATCTTCAGAGTTATGCAGTGCACCGACCCACATAAGCTATTGTTCGCTACTTACATATTAGAAGGAGATGCATATAAATGGTGGGTGAACACCTCTCAGGCATATGAGATGCTGGGCCAGATTATTACCTGGCCATTCTTTGAGGAGCTGTTCCTTGGGGGGTATTTTCCTTATGATGCCATGGAGTGAAAGCAAGGATAGTTTGAGCACCTAGTACAGGGCTCAATGACTGTGGACAAGTATCTGGCTAAGTTCAATGAGCTAGCCAAATTTTGACTGTTCGACCTACACCAGTGTTTTTGGCTTCTATGTTTCGTAGAGGCCTGAATAAGGAGATAGCAGACAGGATAACTGGAGCTGCATCTAGAGACTTTGGCATATTGATTCAGCACTGTCGTGACATAGAGGATGTATGTGTGGTCAGCAAGGTCAAAAAGGCCAAGGTAATTGAGGAGAAAAGAGTCAGTGGTTCCTACCAGGGAAGGGACAAGAGGTATAACAGCAAGGGCAAGGGAAAACAGTTGCAAGCCAGACAACCATTCAATAAGTTTAAGAGGACTTCTACACCGCAAGGGGGTTTTGCTAGACCTCTTTCTTCTCTTAGATGTGCAGGATGTGGAAAGAAGCATCTGGGGCATTGTGCCACTAATGAGCTGTTATGTTACAAGTGTGGGAAGAGTGGCCATGTGGCCAAGGATTGCTATGCAATAGTAGCTCAGGATGCAGTTGCCCAAGCTACTCCACTTCAGATGATTTCGGCACTATATACCGCACCACCTGCTGCACCACCAGCCGCGGGCCGAGTGTACACTCTTGATCGCTAGCAGTCAGATAGAGCTCTGAACCTTGTCAGAGGTACTATTTCTATTGTGGTTGTGACGTAGATGTGTTATTTAATTCTGAGACTACGTACTCT